AGCTGCCCCTTCAATGGGATTTTTTTTTACAAATGAGGACATACTGAATTTATACTTTATCAGAAAGATACAACTCTATTTTCTCACATCAGCTTTACAACACCATAGGTAATTTTCTACTGTATCTTGGGTTTAAGAACACGATTTGGAATCTAGGAGGAAAAGTTTTTCATTCTCTCCACACCTATCTTTTCCTGCAAGAGATCTGAAGTAAATGAAGGACGGTATAAGCAAGTATCTTTACCTTGAAACACTTCAACCGGTATTCCATCAATTCCTGGGTCTTTATATTTTGCCAATGCCTTCAGTGCAGCTTGAACTTCTTCCCTCATTGCAGTTCTTGATCATGTATTACTTCTCAAAAAGATTCAGTGTCAGATAATCATTTTTGGTTAGTAGAACTGTTTAAAGTATAATTTTTCCAAGGTAAAGATACCTACTTATATCATCCTTCATTCTAATCCTTCTGAATCTAGTTTATTGTGTGTTTATTTTTAAATCTGGCACTCAATAGTAATACATCTATGTAAACAAAGCCAAGGATTTTCAATGCATCGTGAGACTAAATGGAATTTTTATTTTCCAAATTCTACTCTGATTTGGGCATCAACTGCAGAAATTAATGTAAACAATCTAGCAATTAAGAGCAGGTTCTGGTGCCCAGTGGGACCTTGAACAAGGTTCTTATTTGCTCTCAACCCCACATGCATAAAAGAGGCAAATGCTGAGGCCACTTCACAGGAGATATTTGTTGAAGGAAAAGATGAGTGAATCCAGGGCCCCGGAGTTCTAACACTCACAAAATCCATTTCTGGGATTCTGAATTTTCAGTTAAGATCCATATGACATCAGCAATGATATCCCTTGTGTCACAGCCTCTTCTGAATCCAGCTTGAATTTCTGGCATTACCTCCAGTGGGATGCCCAGGCTGATAAATGTCACAGGAGGATATTGATTGCTCATCTTGATCCTGAACTCCCAACATTAATAGTAAAGTTAAAAAACAAAACAAACAACCCACAACCAACAGACAGAAATCAGCAAGTGGTAGTGATGATGTAGAAAGATTAGAATCCTCACAAGCTACTTGTTTTCAGCACATTGTGCAGAATAATATAGCACTAGCTTAATATTTTGGAAATAACACATGATTCTGCAATCTCACTAACAGGTAAATACCTCAGAGAAATAAGAACTATAATATGGACAAATATTTACATGTCTGTATTCATCACAGTATTGTTCACAATAGCAGAAAAATTAAGACAACCGAAATGTCCAACAATAGGTGCATAGCCAAACTAGCCACAATACATACCCACAACAGAGCAGTAAAGAGTAACAACTGATCCATGAAACACCTCACAATGGGGTGGAGCCCAGAGGCCATCAGACAGGGAAATGAATGAATTGTAAAGTGACAAATACTGTATGAGGCCATCACTGTACAAAGTTAAGAAATGGTTTACACACTGAAAGCAACATTCTTTGGAGTGAAAGGTAACTAAGAAGATAATAGATATGTATTAACTTAAATGGGGGCGGAAACACACCAAACTCACTGATGTCAAGTCAAAACTGACTCACAGAGGACGCACCAGCCGGTTTTTTGAGGATGTAAATCATACAGGAAGATGCTTCCCATCTTTCTCCAGAACAACAGCTGGTGGCTTCACACCTCCAGAGAGGCACAGCCTTTGGGTGAGCAGTTCAGCTCCCCTTGGACTCTGCCACCTGAGCTCCCTTCACTTGGGTCAAGGGAAAGATGATACCCAGCTACTGGAATCAATAAAAAGTAATCAAGGTAGAAGAACAACCTGAGAGTTAAAATCAACAAAGATAAATACATATTCAAACCTGTAATAAATGGAATAAATAATCTACTAGTGGCCATGTCAGCAGACACGCAAACCAAGCAGGATGTGGGACGCACTGACAAAGAAATGTGAGTTTGACAGAGGGTATTTCTGTGCATGTATTTAGATGTGCTGCAAATACATCCATGTATAAAGCAGAGTGTACAAGACAGGGTTACCAAGTGCTGAAAACAAGTACCTTAAAGGCATAAGTTCCTTCATAGGCTCGCAGGACTCCAAGGTCAATCGGCCCACTGGGGCACAGAGACAATGTTCCCCAACCTCCTGTGGTGAGTGCTCTCTTAAAAGCTTTTAAGTGGCCATCGCACAAGCAACTACTGGTTTCTCTTTGTCCAGAGCAAAGAAGAGCTCAGAAAATCAAGACTATTAGTCCAAGAACTAATGAATCATATGAGTTTCAGTCTCCACAGCCCTGACACAGGAAGAATAAAATGGTTCCCATCTGATCGGTCTGCTATGGACCTAATACATAGGTCCCTGATAGAGTAGGGGAAACGTGAAAGACAATCCAAAATAATAAAAAAAAAAGGCCAGGGGTACTTTTCAGACAGAGACTGGTAGAACCCTGACCCCTTGAAGACATCCTTCAAGCCTAGGAGAAATCCACCCACACAATTCCACTTTGGCCAAAGACTCAAAGACATTAGAGTGAGTAAGACCTCAGAGGTATGCACTCCTTAAACCAAAGCAGGATAGGAGAGCAAAAGGGTAGCACTGGCCCAGGGGCATAGCAAAGAAGGAGTTGTTGTTGTGTGCCATCAAGTCAGAACCAACCACAGCTGACCCTCCGGTGGATTTTCACAGGCAGTAAATTGCACAGAAGGAGACTGCTCATTTCTTTCCTGTGGAGCAGCTGGTGGATTTAAACCACGTGCCTTTGGGATGCCAGTGTAGCTTCTTAGCTCGGGAGGAAATGAGAAGAGTGCTGTTACTTTGGGGGATGTGCAAATAACTCATAAAGCAAAATGTGGATGAAGGGTTGCTCAGGAAACCGATCTGCTCTGTAAACGTTCATCACAGTCACAAGGGAAAGTTTTCCAAAGTTGTCCTTGCTGTTGGCAGGTGCTATTGACTCAATCACAACTCATCACAAGCCGATGAACAACAAAGCTGTCCTCTGCCCTGTCCTGTGCCTCCCTCACCATCTCTGCCACGCCCTAGTCCATTGGTACAGTCACTATGTCAACCTGTCTTGCTGAGGGTCTTCTTTTTCTCTCTGACCCTCTACCTTTCCTGCATAAAGCGTTTTTCCAAGGACTGGTCCCTCCCAATAACGTACCTAAAGTACATGAGACAAAGAAAGAAAATCTCTGTAAATAAGAAGACATGATAGGGTTTTCTTAAAACAAACAACAACAAAAAAAAAAACACCACAAAAACCACAAGTAACGCTATTGACAAAGATGTTGTGTTGCTCAAAAGTAAGCTTACATACGTGGGTGTTTCAATGCTGTTGACGCAATGTTGTAACACAATGTGGCAGATCCCCCAATATCTGACAAGTCAATCCCATGTAGGAGGATTAAGAGAGGGGTACAGCACCCTTAACCCAATCACAGCCCTAATCCAAGGAAAGATGTGACATCAACACCACCTTTATCTTATAAGAGAAGCTAGCAGACTGGCTCAGCACAGCCAGGACAGGAGAATTGGGAGCAGGGTTCTTTCTTTCGAGCCAGTCTCCAGTCTCTAGGCCCAGAACTTCCCCTGACATGGAGGAAGCTCAGCATGTGTGGACATCTCCAAAGAGCTCTGAATGTTGAAGGAATGGTGAAGGGGGCTAGGCCCTCCTGGGACGCCAGAGCAGACAGAAAGAGAAAAGTCAAATAAAAGCAAGGCTTCCTCAGAGCCCTGACTCCTGACTTCTAGCCATCTAAATGGGTAAGAGGATGAATGTCCACTTGTTAAAGGCGTTCATTTCTGATATTTCTGTTACAGCAGCAGCACTGGGTACTTCAATAGACAGTGATGAAGGCAAAGCACCTAAAACCTATACTACTTCCTGCCATGACTTAAAACCAACCAGCAAACTGTTGGCATTTAATTCATATTTGGCCTATGACTCCTGAAAAACACCACCCTATGAACAGTCCTATGATTGTGATATGGATATAATTATTGTTTGCTGTGAAGTGGACTATAACTCACCGCAAACCTCCAGAACAACAGCTCTGAACCTCGTCCTGCTCTGCACCTGCCTCACCACCTCTGCCATGCTTCACCCAACTCATTAAGGGGCTTCCTCTCTTTCCCTGACCCTCCACCTTGCTAGGCATGTCTCTCTCCACGGTTCCTCTTGACAATAGGCCCAAAGTAAGTAAAACAGAACTCACTCACATTGAATGTAATTAGTTTCTAAAACTCTACTTTCCCTCTAAGAACTAATAAAGTGTGTTATAATTTCAAGCAACGAAAGGTTAAAAAAAAATTCTCAAACTGCTAGTGTTTATTTCATATGAAATAAGTAAATAAATGTTTCTTTCATGGAGGTGGTTAACAGCAATCTCAAATGACAGTGGTGGGACGTCCCTAATACAGTCACAGGCCCTGAAGATTACTGTAATCACCTTCTCTATCATGTGGGGGAAATAAAAACACTGACCATCACCAACAGCCCACATAAGCGATGTCTGTGTCATTAATGGCAGCATGGCCCAAACCATCAACTGGGGCCACCTGGCAAAGGGAAGTTTCAGCTGCTTCACCTGGCACCCAGCCTTCATCTCACAGAAACATCAGTAACTAGAACGACACAGTCAAATATCTGCAGGGAGAAGACACAAATCCTGGAGAGAGTGGACCAGCCAGCGGGGTCCCAGCTGTGGACACAACACTGCTAGAAGCTGGGGTGTGGGGGTGGGGAAGCTGGTGCCATAGTCCAGACACAAGAGTTCTGTGTCAAGGTGCGCCTGGAAAGGGGTGTGCCCTCGGATTTTGTCACTTCAGAAGACTTAAGAATAAGGAGAGTGGCGTGTACAGTGAGAAGGCTGTAAAATAATGGATCAGGCCTGTTCTTAAAGTTGCGCAAACGTGGGTTCGCGCAAGCCACGGGACAGCAGGGAGCTAAGGACGAGTCCCAGAGAGCGCCCTGGGTAGTGCGGCGACGCGGGGTCGGGTCTTACTTTTGTAGCTGGCGGACCAGGGCTGGTAGCCATAGTAGCCGGTGATGCGGAGGATCCGCTCCTCGATGGACGTGAGCCCGGCGGGCGCGCTGGTCAGGTCCTCCACGGAGCGCGACCATTTCAGGTCCTCCTTGATGGCCTCGTCCACCACCAAGTACTTGAGCTGCCGGAGCTGAGGGCTGATGTCGGACAGTCTCCGGGGGCTGACGTCCGGCGACCTCCTCATGCCGCTGCAGCCACAGGAGCAGGAAGGAGGGCGGGGGTGGAGAAGACAGAGACCAGGGAGTTAGGGGCTCGTGCCCGAGCGAGCGGGGCTCCGCGGCCTCTGCGAGGCGGCAGGTGCGGAAGGGCCGGCTCACCTCTGCCCACCGCCCGCGTCCACCTCGGCCCAGGGCCTGGCCCCGCGCTCCCCGCCCGCTCTGTGCCCGCTCCCTGCCCGGGGCAGCGCGAGTTGTGAGCCCGCGACGGAGAGGATGAATGCAACTTCGTAGCCGGCCGGCCGAGCTCGGGCCGGGACTGCGGGAAGCCGGGGTCAAGGTTCCCCTTCCTCTCCCGCGTATGTGCCCCCAACCCCCGCCACTACTCACACAGCGATGGTCTTGCCCCCGGGTACAGCGCCCGGGAACTCCCGGATCCCCATAGGCAACAGCCAAGCGAGCTGGGGTTGCAGACTGACCACCGTGCCGGCTGGGGCTCCCCGGGCGCCGCCCCCACGCCCTGCGCCCCGCTTCCGCGCCGAGTGCTGGGTGAGATGGAGGCGTGGGTGCAGCCCTGCTCCCCAGGAGCCCGCGTACCCCGCGCCCGGCTCTTGAGCGCCGGGGTGAGAAGGCGGCGCGGACGCAGTCCTGCCCCGGAGCCCAAGCCGCGCGCTGCAGAGAGGAGCCCACGGGGAGGGCGCAGCGCGGGGCCGGGCGTGCGCTCCACCTGGGCGGCCGTGCACCTTCGCGGAGCCGGGAGCTGGAAGCCGGGAACCGGGCGAGGGCGCTGCTGCCCTTCGCTCCGCCCGCGACGCCCGGCAACCCTGGGCCTGAGCCAGGCGCCCTGTGCGCCTGCAACTTGTTAGCACCAATGCGCTCAGCTGCCATGGGGAGAGCAGTCTCTCCCTCCCCAAGCTTCTTTC